GCCAGGACGAAAACCGCATTGTTCCTCCTGAATCCGAGGTTCGACTATCCGAGGAATTTTTGTTGTTGTTTTCAACACAGGATCTTTGCAAGAGAAACTGTTCAGCAGTAGAGTGTTTTTTTTTCTATAATCTTTGTATTAGAAATGACATGGAGTTAAATTATATTTATTTCTGCTATGAAAATGTGAGTCCACTGTACTTTGGATATGTTTCTAGACAATAAAATCAATGTGAATTGAGGCACAAAACAAACAATATTATTAAATAATAAAAGACTGGTAACATTTTTCCAAGGGTTATGATGATATAGTAGCATATGAAAAAGGGCCAGGGTTTATTCAGCGCTTACTTACTGTAAGTGAAACAGTAAGAGTCTGTTTCTTTTAACATGTTTGTGAAGCAATAGCTGCTAAAACTTAAAATAATTTAAGATGCAGGCAACTCAAATGTAAAACAATGCGTACTCTGTCACTGCCAACACTGACTGTTTAATCCAGAGCCATGCTGACAATCTCCAGACTGTTACTGTAACTCTCCCTCAGAAATCAATCTTCCCATCCCAAGCATTGTTTTATCGACTTGGCCTCAACGGGAGACTCTGGACTCCAGCGTTTACACAGCTCTTCGCCACACAGGTAGACAGCCGCTCTGTTTGGGCTAACTGTGCTAAATCGCCAGCATTTGATTATCGTAGCATGTGTACACACGGGACAAGCCACGGCAAGCTAAGATAAACAGCACAAGGGATAATACGCAGATTATGCAGAGCTTGTAAGTCAGTTGCTGTTAGTTGATTTTTACTTTACTAATGATGAGTGCTGTTCTTCACTGACATAATAAAAAGTGACCTGACCATTAACTGACAACAGCTGGAGCTGAAAAATTCAGACAGCGGTCTGAAGTTTGGGAATCACTGCAGCTGTGTGTGCACGGCTGCTTTATGACAAATACTGACAACTGATAGCGATAGCCATCGCCAGGGTGCAACGCAGCTGTGTGTGCATGTGTATGCATATAGTACCTGTGGCTGGTTAGTCGAGTTAAGGATGAGGGCCCATAGGTCTGCCCGGAGACCAGTGGGGCAACCCTGCCTGCTGTACTGCTGTGCTGCGGCACTGTCCTGCTCCACAATCACTGGACAAGTATAGGACAAAAGGTAAGACAGTGGAGAGAAGGAGACAGGTGTCTGCATGAAACAAAAAGGCACTGACAGAGTCAGTTTCCTTCATCCACTTATTCACTTTCTTGTTGAGGGTTAGGTGCGCAGACCATTACCAGCCTCATGTCTGGCCATTAAATATGAAGCTAAAGGCTGGAGACACTCAGCTTAGCTTAGTATGAAGACTTGAAGCAAGCACAAACACCTCGGCTGGATCCGTCCATCAGTTAAAGTTTGGCAGGGACTTCCTGGAGTCTCTGCTGGTTGCCTGGCAAAGCTCACAATGATGACAAGACTCCAGAATGTCACTGCTCCCGGCCCAGAACTAGTCGGGCCCCCCTTCAAAACCACCTCTAAAACCACAAACTGTAATTCTTACACTTCATTTTTTTTACTGATAAAACAAGATATTAAGTGTTAATTAGTGAGGCTGTAGATGTGTTGGCAGAAGGATATTCTTTCCTTTGGGCAAAGTCAGGCTGGCTGTTTCCTCCTGTTTCCAATCTTTTTCCCTAAGCTATGGTTACCAATAAACTGACTTCATACTTAAGACTGTGCCAAATGAGAGTGGAATCAATTATCTCATCTAGAGCTCAGCAAAAAAGAATAAACTGATCGCTTAGTCAAGCAAAAACATTGCACTGGTTTCAGGCTCTCATGTCTGAGTGAGACCGTGAACTAAGAAATGATTTGATATTCATCTTAAATATGAAAAAATGAGTTTATATGTAACAGATCACACCGTTATTCACCAGTCAGGCTTTTGTCACTACAGTCATGGTTGGTTTGGTATGACTGTTAGCTCATGGTAGCTAATGTCAGCAAACATTGGTTTATTTTGTTAACCAACCATAACCAACACTACTCAGACAGTTCACCGACTTTATGATGTGCTACGGTTAGAGTAGATATGAACTTTTAGCATTACCTCATGATTGTCATGTTAAATCAACATAAAACCCCTGTGGCTTGCTGGCAGAATGATGCATTCACAGTGCATGTGAAATTGTAGAAAGCACAAAATACATCTGTCAGGTAAACATCAAGAGGGATCCTGACCTAAAAGATGTGGCGTGTAGGCCACTATACCATCTATGTATTGGGGTTTCACTGTCCTGCTCACAGGTACTCACAGGTTCACAATTTAATTCCATCAGTTTGAAAATATAACAACAATCATAACAAAGACATTGCCATAACAGAGATCATTACATAACTCTCAAAAGAGCACTCATGCACATGTTGGAAACAACCTCCCCCACATCGCCATTCTGCCTTAAATCTCTATTGTGACAGTAGCTGAAAACACACAACCCTTGACTTAAGGTGTTGGCCAGTCATTATATAAACTAACACACTCCTCTCCTCCTAAATTTCCTATTTGAGTGTGCTTTATATTTGGTCTAGAACACAACTCGCAGCAAGGGAGCCAATACACAGCCAACCAAGGAAGAAATAGTGAACCAGGACCTTGTGTAAACAAAATACAGCTTGTGCTTTAAGGACTTATGTCAATTGATGTCTGATTGGTGTCCATAATAAGGTAGGTGTTTACACTGGGTTCATAGCAGAGCCATGATTTGAAAGTTAAAGTTCCCCTCTAAGAAGCAGAGGAGAAGGATTCATTAACGGCAGGAGCCACTAGGGAGTTTTTTGTGCTTGGTGTATACTTTTATACCAGTATTTGGATTTTTTTTTTCAGCCTTTATTCTTATTTTTTTAAAAACAGATTTGACAGTGGCTATGATTAGATTCTAATGTAAAAATAAATTCAAGGTATCTGAAGGGATAAATTAAGTACAAATATGAAACACAAAAATCAAAAAAGATGGACTTTAGGCTGCAACTACAGTCTGTGGCTCCTCTACTTAAAATAAGTTATGGAAAGTAAATACTGTCTCAGTCAGTAATAATAATGATTAAGCAATGATATTCCTGGCAGCCTCTGCTGCATCTGGTGTTTAGATCCCAGTATACCTGAATGCAGTTTGTATCAATTTGTAAAGAAATATCTCAAAGAATTAAACCAACAAAAAACTATTCACAGAAGAAACGTCAACATAAAACAACCTAAAGCAATAAAACAAACACTAACCTTTTTTCCCGATTTGAAAGTACTCACTCTCAAACAAATCTGCACAGGGTTGAGAAGGAAGAGCAAAACAGATTAATCAGCAATGGTGTGGTAGTGTCTGGGTTCTTCAAACTAATGTTATCTCTGATTTACAAGATGAAGATGTGATTCTATTTAAAGCCTAAACACCAGACTGTAACTATGTCAGTATCTGGATTTAGCAGAAATATAGTTTGAAAAACTCCAGACAGCCATGTGGCGCAGCTAAAAAAAACACAGGTTGATTATCAGACCAGTGTGGTTTATAAACCATTAAAATACAGTGGTTACTAGGTAAACATTTATGTCAAAGTATTTATGATTAAACACTGGCAGAAAAGAGAGAAGAACCAGCTGGATTATCAAAGGAATTAAAAGAAATTTTTTTGTACTGAGCTACAGGAGATGAGAAGCTCCAAAACGCTCTCATAATGTTCCAGTAAATTTGGACCTACAACCAGCAGCTTGGCTAACACAAAAACTGGGTCTCCACTGGCTACCTGGCAAACTCACAGAGATTACAGGAAATTACTGCATCTGACCAAGAACTAGTCAGGCAAATAACTCCATGTAAAACAATGTCATGTTGTAATATGTTAATTTGCAAGCCTTAGAGATTTTGTTACATTTGGACAGAGCTGGTGTACCAGTTTCCAGTCCTTATGCTAAGCTAACCTAACAGTCATAGGTTCAAACTACGTATTCACAGTCCAGACATATCAATCTTCTCATCTAACTCTTAAAATGAATGAGCAAATGTCCCCTTTTCCCGAGCACAATGGTGAACAAATGAGTATATTTGCACTTTTTCTAACTACCTGGATGGATGTGTGCATGGTCATCAATCCCCAGCTGCCCAGTGCTCAGGTTCAGCTCTGAGTAGGTCTGTCTCTGAAAGTTTAACACAAAAAATACCAACTACAGGTTTCAAATCCATTGTGCATTTCCTGGGGTGCCTTAATAGGATATGTTATATGTGCTGACCTCACAAGGTCACTAATTGCAGATATACACACACACACACATATATATGAGTGAACGCTACAAACCAGACATGCACATGGGTCCCTACCAGCTGGGGGATATCTTGGACATTGAGAGGAACCTGGATGAGGCCCCAGTGGCTCCTGGCACTGACATCCTCCCTGCTATCATGGTTGGGGTTCCGCAAACCGATCAACACCTGTATAAGAAAAATGCATTAATGTAGTATAGTGGAGCTCATCTATGCTGAATACCCTGAACAACAAAGAATCTGCTTACCTCCAGAAAGTCTTTGGGTGCATAGACAGGCCTAAAGCGACTTAAATCTGCAGAAATACAAACACTTTAATAGGAATACAATACAGTATACAACAAAACTGGGCACACCTCTGGTCACTAAAAGGTTAAGCAATTACAACATTTAAGAACTAACTGTAACAAACATCAGTACACCCTTCACTAGGCGGGGATTTTATTCTGTATTTATTTAGGGTGTACTCAGTTTTGTTGGGGTACATGCGATAAGCCGATAGTACCACTTATAGGGGACACTTCTCCAGCTGACAAATGTACACGTTTACATATGCAATTTCAGAATAGGCGTAACAGCTGTAAAATCTAGACTACACAAATGCATCCAGCCATGAAGTTCATGTCATCAACTTGAACTTGGTTCAACTGTTTGTGACATTTGACTTGAGTTTGCACAGTCAGAGGTGGCACCTTTTACAAAACTCAGAACAGCTGAGGCACTTCCAGCCACTGAAGCATGATTTCCATCTGCGGTATGTGGCACAGCAGCAAATTCAAGTGCCGTGACATCCCCAGAAAAAGCGTGCATTAAGGTTCTAGATGGAAGCAGTGGTGATGCTCGTTATCGCAGCTCTATCCAAGGAGCCTGGACAGCTTCTTTATTCCAAAGTGTTTATAGCTACGAGACGGCACACAGTCCTGAATGTTATTATACAGCGCTAAGGTGTGATAGCATTGTTAAGACAGAAGGTTACCGTGTCCTTTGTGCATGTACTAGCATGAAGCGCAAATGGTTGATTGACTGAGAGACAAATATTAATATACCGCATGATTTCCCCTTAAGAATTCTTTTGGCATAAACCTAAACTGGGAACAAATGCTCACTGTAGCAGCTCTGTAGCTATTAGGTAGCACTGTGATTTTAGGCAAGTCAAGATGCATAGTAAATGTGTCAATGTGCTTTTTCTATTCTCGCCCCAAGGATGTGATTTAGACCTCAGAAACCTTGCAGAAGCAAGCAACTGCCTTATCTGTAAAGACAAAATACTAAGAGAAACATCTGGAAACTCTACTATCCCCTGTTTAGATGTTGCAGAGTAGAGCACAAGCCTTAGGAAACCTCCACTGGATAAATACAGGTTTAATATTCAAACATGGAAGTGGAGATCTGGCTGATGTTAAATGCACCAGTATCTGGCCGATGCTCTGGTGCACAGCCACATCAACACCAATCTATCATAAAAAGCAAACTAATCAGGGAAAAACCCCTGGGTAATGTCTCAAGACCTGGTTCATCTGTTCCCATCTCGTTCCATTTGTGGGTCAGCTCCATCTGCACCTCTGCTGGCCTCTGTGAAGTGGGCGGAAAGAGTTATGTTTAACAAACAGATGCCACAGAGCCTAAACAGAAGCAATCTTAATACATGTCACATCAAAATGTGCTTTGTTGGTCATTAACACAATCATTTGTGCACAGAACCAAATAATAATACTGATTAACAGATTTCAAACAGCACTGCCTGCTTATTATCAGTCTAAAGTTCCTGAATCATTGTGAACTAACTAGGCTTAGCTCTTGCCACAGTTTAGCCACAATTCAGAGCTCAGTCAACTTTGTGTTACAATGACATATTGTTAAGATGCACTATGCAAACACACATGTTGCATTAGAAAAGATGCAGCCAGAGAACATGAATTATCAGCCACTGTAATTACGCTACATTAGCCATGACTGTTACCTTGCGGGCCAGAGGCACACCCAGCTCTGTGCTCATGCTGTTCAGGCTTTTGAGCACACGCTTCTCCCAGCTGGCCTGTGTAAGACAGTACACACACACACACACACACACACACACACACACACACACACACACACACACACACACACACATTCCTGGCTTCAGACACAGATTCCAAATAGCTGAGTGAGGAAAAAAAAGCAGGTCAACCCCTGACTTCACCCAGCAAAAAAAAATCAAGAGTCAGAGAGAAGAAGACCAAGTGAGGAGTGAAGCAATAAGAGGAGACAGACCGACCTGTGCCGTGCGCATGTAGGCCAGTGGCTCCTTGAGATGCTCTGGAGGAGCTGCAGGATGGCTTAGGGGCACCTGGCTAGAATAAGCAAACAGAAGGGAGGAGATGCCAAGCTCTACTGGACCAACAGACCAAAGCTTGATTGAGTAAACACAAAAATACCACTGGAATTTTTTTAACTAAAGCCTGACAGCTTTGAGGAACTGAAGCCAATAACAAGACATTTCTCAAAAAATGTATTATAAAGCAAAAGGCAAATGAAATGTTAAGTAAGCTGTGTTGTGCACATGGAGCTCAGATTAGTCAGCATGCAGCTCCATCAGATACGGCAAATGTCTCATGTCTGTGCTTGGCTAAGCATGCTCAGGGCATATTGAATGACTCAAGGTCTCAGTGCATTAAACAACGTTTAGCGTAATCTAAACACCCATAATAGCCCACAGAGATGAATAATGGCCAAAAGGAGGCGGCATTAGCCAATGTTATATGTCAACCTTTAAAAGTAAGGAACCTATGCTTCAGTCTGAGCATCAAGAGAGGAAGGAAGACGTTTTAAAGGTAAGAGAGTTTGCATTTACAGTCGAGGACTTTTCAAAGCTGCTTACTGGAGCTATTTAGTAATTTGATACTTATAAAGAGTTAAAACGAGGCTCATACACCTTGATAATTATGGAGTAATAATAATAGTGTCTCTTGACAGCCTCAATGTCAGAAAAACAAGAGTAAATCTATCAGTCCAATAACACTGAAGGGGGAAGGTGACGACAACAAGCAACAAACTGGGCCTGTGCTGCCATCCCTCTGTTTAAACCACATACCACACATTCCTCTGAGTCTCAGAAAACAAGTTAAGGTACAAATATGTGTACAAAAAGCAGTGCCAGGCAACATGCTAATTATGTACAATATGAAACAGGAAACACCTGGGTAGACAATATCCAGTAGGCACAAAATCAAACCTAAAACACTCTGCCTCATAATTCGTCCATGCCTGAGTGTGTATAGTCAAGTGTGTCTGCAGTGTTTGTGTAAACCGGTGCTTCATATAAACCTCACTTTAGGCTAAATGTCACTTACACATGCAGTTCTCTGTATACAGCATTCTGGAGCTTCCTTTCCCAGCCTGCAAAGCATTAAAATTGACAACAGTAAGTTAATTAGTATGTTAATGAGTGAGCTGTAGCTGTGTGTGTTGTATAAACTGAAAATATGTCAATGACCCACCCGCTGTTTTGAGGAAACTGCGAACGTCCTCTTTAAGAGACTCCAGTTTTATCTCAGGTTGATGTAAACACTCCTACATTGATATTTAGGAGAGAAAGAAAAGGAAGATGTGTTGTTTTTATACGTTACATGGCTTTATGTTGAATGAGAAGTACAAATTCAGCTGTTCACGACACTCTTGAGATTGACAGCAACCTGCTCGGCTCCGCACCGTTGGCTACATGCTAGCTAACTCACTTTGGCGTGTCTCTCTAGCTGAGAGTGTAAATGGCTTCCCTTCAGCCGCTGGATGATCTGAGCGATGGTCAGAGATAACTCTGTGTCCTCGTCCATCCTGCGCGTCAATGCTCGTTAACGTAGTTTTGCGTCGAAAACGGCACAATTTGATTTGCTAGACGTTAGCACTACGAGGCGGTGCCGCATCTTCCCACCGCAGTGGTTACTTAGCAACCGAGGAGCGTGCAGGGGAAATAAAAACCCGGTACTTTAGTTCCGAGCTGAAGATCTGTTCCGAGACCAATATCACAGGGCGGTTTACATTTCTTACTAAAAATAGCTAGTTGTTATCATTTATTTTATCTTATTTTATGCCCACACATTAAATATGACGCATGTGCCATACAAAATGTGATCTCATAGGTCTACATACATTTCACAAACGCATTTGTGATGGGATGTAACTAGGAACATTTACTCAAGTACAAAATTAAACTTGTGCTTTCAGAGGGAAATACTGTAGGCTACTCTTTTTCTGAACTGTATTTATCTGACAGCCATATTAGTATGATTTCTGTATGGTCATATTATTTGATAGACTGATTACTGTCACTGTGCATAGTTTAAATAACAAAACCAATGAAGTAGTAATAAATGTAAAAGTACTCTGCTACAAGTAAAAGTACTCTGCTACATTCAAAATGTTACTTAGTGAATCCATTCACAAAGCAGGCGTAGGCTGTCATCACTAAAATATGTCAGTATTTCTCTGAAGATGCTCTAAAATATGCTGTAATTGTCTTCACACATGGAGACCAGCTCCCTAAAGGAATGATGAAATTGAAGAGTTTGTCAGTCAGAATCATGATGTGAGCGGTGCCACGTCTTTGATAATAAATACTGGAAGAACAAACAACAGAATAACTACAAGGGCAAACAGTTCCAGGTGGAGGAGCTACTCAACACAGACAACATGGTGATGGAAAGCATCACATCACAATATATTGCTGTTAACTGGTCCAAAGACTAGTTGTGTTAGTATATTCCCCTCCATTCCCTACATCCACGGCACATACCAAGAAGGTCTACTCCTATTACTTACTGATGTTTCTCAAGGAGTTCATCAAACAACATTAAAGACGATAATTACTACTTGGCTCTGTCATGGGGTGTGACAGTGCTGTGTGCTATTCTGAACATGTGACGGACTCAAAAATATTGGAGTTGGCGCTGCCGGGGCCGTAATGACAGCCTGTCTCTCCACCCATCGGAACAATTACAGCCCGAGTCAATGAGCTTCCGAATTGTTGCTGACATTTTCGCATGAATTGCCACAGCAGGCGATGCCATGCGTTGAGATGTGGCAGAGAGCCACATAGCCTAGTGCAGAAGTGTGCTGACACCGGGCATCAGATATTTCTAACTAATTTAAGTCACGCATTTTGGCTTCAGTATGTTCTCTCTTCTAAGTGATCATGAAAATAAGAAATCTTTGAAATAATATGGAGTTAGTAAGGAATACAGAGGATTCGCCTCCTATGTCTCCTTAACACTGTGCACAACCTCTATTACCACAAAAGAGAGAGAGAGAGAGATACTGACTTGCACAGACCCTAAAGGCGGGCTGATCACTCAAGAGCAGGATCCGTCCACATGCTGTCAGTAGCTGGAAACACCAGTGGCGCGCAGCGCACCAAACTGAGCGCACGGAAACTTGTTTATTAAGCCATCATTTTCTTTCTAAAATCGATTCAGTGGATACTTATAATTTGCCACATCCTGACCTTTGGCGCATTTACTTTCTTGCATGAGCATGACGAATGCTGTTCATATGACAGATTTTACTTGAGGCTATAAGAGTGAACGCGAAATGGAGACGTTTACACTACATGACATGCTCATGAATTCAACGGATCTCAGCAGGATTTTATGCAATTTGGGCATCAAGAATACTTCGGAGTGCGAGAGCGAGCCGAAACCCCCGCCCGAGCCTAAAGGTATAGTCAATAAAAAATATATATATGTATATTGTTTTTACTCTAAATGCTATGAAACACCCTGCGGAATAGTGATAATTTTATTCAGGCATTTATATCTTTATGCCAAACTAGCATAAAGCGACTGCTTTAGGCGCTTTCTGCTTCTGTGCGCTTTACGCGCATGGCTCCAGTCCTCCCCAGATGTATTGTACATGTGCTGTCACTAGTTCAGGCAAACAAAACTGCCATTTTACTCTTCGGCCACAAAACAGCACCAACTTTGTACATTTGTGTGGCTAAAACACAACATTAAAGATGAAACAGCTTAACAAATTACATTTGTGTTTTATTGCTTTTTTTAGTTTTTGAATTTTGACCTTGAGTCTATAATAAAGTGTCATTCATTCATATGGATTATTATTGTGACAACCCAGCAAATTAAAATACTACTCCGCACATACTGAGCACTAAATTACTGCATGTAAGTCGCTGTGTGTGAGTATTTAAGGAACATTGGGTTATAGAATGAAATGTCATATTGACGTACACAGAGTTTATTTGTGCGCATCCATGTCTCTCCTCACTCTCCTGCTCCTCTCAAGATATCAACCAGACAGTGCGGATTGTCCTCTACAGCCTCATCTTCCTCCTCGGCGTTCTGGGCAACAGCCTTATCATCGCGGTCCTGGTGAGGAACCGACGCATGAGGACCGTCACCAACCTCTTCCTGCTGTCTCTGGCCGTCAGTGACCTGATGGTCTCTCTGGTCTGCATCCCCTTCACGTTCATCCCCAACCTCATGCGGAACTTCATCTTCGGCATCGGAATGTGCAAACTGGTCACGTACTTCATGGGTGAGTGAAATTATGATAATAGGCCTTGAATGCTTTTATCCATCAATCCATCCATTTTCTTCCGCTTATCCGGGGCCGGGTCGCGGGGGCAGCAGTCTAAGCAAAGATGCCCAGACCTCCCTCTCTCCAGACACTTCCTCCA